GGCTTCCCAATTGCCCCCTGTGTCCGGTGGTGCCCCGTAACCAACGCGTCTCTGGTGAGCAGTGCGTCTTAGTAATGCGGCCTGTCGTAGCTCGCTAGGGCCTAGCCACGCTAGCGATAAACACTGTCACTGCCGCAGATTGTTTACATATCTTTTGTGAATGGCACAATTCTGGGTGCGTGGTCGAGTTAGCGGAAATGTCACACCAACGCTTTCGATGAGCCCGATGTCCGAATATCTCACCAACTCCAACACTCAGTGAAATGTCAATTTCGTTGGTCCAAACAACTAACACGATCCAGCCCAAGAAAGAACCTATTTCTCCTCCAAAATGTCGCTTTTAGTCACTTGTATTGATTCTGAACTTTTGCGAAATTGCATTCAAACCGACTTACCTCCTTCGAATCCAACGTGAGATGCGTTGGTCATGGAACATGGTACAAATTACCCAACTCTGATGCTTTTAAGTTGGCATATTTTCACTGAAACCACTCCTTATGTCTTGTCTTGGTGGAAATGTACGCCGTTGTCCTTGCCAGCACACACGGGTCTTCGCACTTTCAACATTTTTTAACCGAAATCGCCGCTTCTAGTCTTGTTTCTTTCCACGCACCTGTCCTAGTCAACCGTAGCAAGTGCTTCGAGTCTTAATGCATTGTCTAAGTGCCGATCTGGACCGTTTCATGGGTGTGAAAACTTGAGGGCTCATTTGGGGATATCTGGATGTGCCAAATCTTCCCCTGATTGCTACCTTTCTTCCTTTCCTCGGTCTGTTTTTTTCGAGATCTTGTGGAATTGATTCCTGAATCGCTTTTACGTGTGCAAACGGATACACGCATTACCAGAACTGTTTTTGTTTAATTGAAGTTTCTCGTTTTACGGTGGTTACTTTGAACCACTTACCACTTTCGGATAGTGCGGATGGCAATTTTTTCACACACTCACATGCACACACGCCTCTGTGTTTATAAACAGTGTCTTACTGCATTGCCTGACAGGATGTGCCCTTCCTGACCCTTTTCTTTCTTCAAACTGGAAGGCAAAATATCCATCCTAATCTTCAAACCCCTCACCTCCTATTGCTACGAAGGCGCGTTTGAGTGTTAACCGCAGAATCCTGCTTATTCGGCTTTCGTTTTCAAAATTTAAATGCATCGGGTTTTTGGTAAATCTCACAAATTAGTGCAGTTTCCAGAAGTCGGACAAGTGTTGTGGTAGATCAGAAAATACCACGCTGTCTGAGCGTATCGTCATTCAACTGACACACTGACCTCATTCCATGAGCTTAGTTCATTCTAAATTGGACGTGACAGCAATTGTGTTCCGATGAGCCTTAGTCTCTATATCAAGTTTAGGTTTGTTGGATCATGGACTTAGCGAAAAGACTTCTTCTTTCTCTTGTAATTTCTGCCTTGTGCTTACGAACGGTGAATCGAACCAACCCGAATGGTGTTCACTTTCAAACTGGAGTTTGGTTATTGAAACTTTTACCATTTTTTGTACACAACGACAGTGACGTGGAGGGAGATGTGGGTGTCAGTTGTATCCACTCCACAGTGGGGTTCGGTGTTCCTTCTGGTCTCCCGATTCATTTCCATGCGAAGACTGCTTCCACGCAAAATGCATCAAAGGCGTCGTGTATTTGGGGCTGTAAGATGCGACGGGCTGTGTTTGTTCCACCGCGCCGACCCAATATTTATCAGCTAAAGTGAACTTTTAATTTTCACCTTGTCATTCGTTTATTGCCGTTCCCCTAGTAGCGCAATGACTAACAATGTGAGTCATCCCTCGTGCCCTTGGCGTTGCAGCGCACACGGTCTTGTGCATTCCAGGCAAGTCGTACCACTTCATCACGAGGTCACCTGTATTTCACACTGCCTGGGTAGATTAATGATGGACTAAGCAGAGCTCGGGAATGTTGACGATCTCGTTATGGGGATTGTGAAGCCTCCGAATTCGATCGAACCGAAAACTCCGCGCTTTTGTGGACGAACCTGTTTTGCTGAGGTTGCAGGTGCAACGCCTCAGGCAATTCCTCCCCCGAGTCATCTCCAACGCCCGCTTTCCACTCTCAAGTCAAGGCTCCGCACACTGACTTCTTCGTGTGAGAAATCCACGGGGTGTTCGTGCAAATCATGTTGCTACCAGCAGTTTGTGAAAAAGTAGAAGAATGTGTGATTAACAAAAAAAACAATCAATCTCCTCGGTAGATTGGTTTAATGTCGACTGTGTTAGTCGTAAGCTAGGCCTATGCTGGTCTTGCCATGTCGTGTCTGTCCAATCTCGAAAAAAAGCCACCACAGCATAGGACACTCTGGCCAACCTCTGGACAAAGTGACGCTGGCTGATGGGATTTACGTGTTTCCTCCGCAGATGCTATAATAAGGGATTACGCTACCGCCAGCTTAGATGAGGCTTGGCCTATTTTTCATCCAAATGACCTGGAATTATCTTCGTACTATTGTGTAATTTGGCGTGAGCAGCTGGTGCTATAAGTAGTAAATATGCATAGAGTCGAGCGGATGCAGTGGTTGTAGAATAACTACGACTCTCCGGCTGGAGTTTTACTTTCTTGCGTTGTCATCTAGTAAGAAAAAACATTTTAGTTTGGTTACCGCCCTGATAATTTCATTGTGTTCTTTGCCTACTAACTGCATGTACAAACCCCTGTATACACTTGGCTTCATTTCGATCATTATTATGGACCTATTTTGGGCTGCGTATCGAAATATCGACATTTAACCAATCACACTTTACAGTGCTCTTCTCACGGACCAATGAGATTCCAGCACTTTTGTACGTGCTTAATACCATGTTTATTGCTAGCTTCACATTCGAACTCTAAATCGTGTTATAAATTCTTTGTGTGTGTGGTGGCGGGTTGGGCTTTTTCTGTGTGCCTATTGGCCTCTTCTCCCCTTCCATAAGCACCAATGGTTTTTTTCTCCAATCATATCGGATTCCTTTCTCACCGTTGTGTAAACAAACCAATATTTCTGATGTACCGTGTGCGGTAAACAAAGCGGTTTTTGTGGACCACGTCGATGACAACTGACAGTGCTAATTCAATCACACGAGGCTTGTGAACGTGCATCCTCGTTTAAATATTCGTTGTACGGTCAAAAAAAAACGTAGAATTTTAGTCGAAGGTTAGGTGCGGATTTCTCGCGCTAACGTGACCCGATCAGCTGGATCGAAATTCTGACCCGAGCAAAGCGGGTTCGCATTCAAAATCCGTTCGTAGACTGATTGGTGCTTTCTTGAGCAATAATATCGTCATGTTTTTTTTTTGAAAAGCGGTGCATTTCCGCAGCCAAGAGACGTTAAGACTAACTTCTTTTGTGCTTGTCACTTCTGGCCTACATTATTAGGAAAATTGATTTTTCGACTTGGATTATTTGTTGCTGATCACTTTCGTATTTGTGCGCTTACCTTTTTGTGCATACTCGCATCTTAAACAGTGCGATTTTTCGATACCTTCTTTGGTGCGTCCTGGTAATTCTCTTAAACTATTTGACTGTCTACTCACACATTTGTGAGTAATACTTGGTTCAGTTGCGTCCCCTCTCTTGCAGTATTCTAGATTTTTCCAACGTAACTTGTTTTCAGGGTTAATTAACCGATAAGTCCAGAGTCATTGCAGCTTTAACGAATAAGCATCCAACTAGTTACCCCCTAAACTACTCAACTGCCTCAAGCTAACAGATACTAAGTCCTCTTTGGTCGAAGCATTCCGTGTTCTCACTCCTTGTACCCTATCAGTGTTTTGCGTTCAAGGCCACCGCTGCGGAGGCGTCGCCTCATTTCACTTGTAGCTGCGGCGCTTAATAAGAAGTACCTACCAGTCATGTTCACTCAGATGCCCAATTTCCCTTAAAGCCTACGTTTTGGCAGTTATGTAGTTTTGGTTGGTTGAAGAAAAGTAAAGCTAAACGCGCCTATCTGCAGTTGCTGAGCTGACGAAAGTAAACTGTGCGCTGCTGTCTGCACTCGACTCGGGGAAGTGTATGCGATATTCACGTCGCTAAGTGATTGAGAGGTACAGGAGTATTCGGAGAAACCATTCAGACGCGACGTTGGTGTATCTTCACGGTCCTGATAGTGGGAGGACGTAGTATCGAATGAAGAACACCCGAAGATTAATTCTTTCCACATACCGAAAGGAACTACACGTTGATTGGGCTGAAAAGGTTGTTAAAAACTGATCAAAGTAACCTGTCTACCTCCAGGTTTTTTCCTGTCTTGGAGATTAATTTTGACAAGTAAGGCTCGATTCGTATGCTACTTCGTTGCTTTTTTTTTCTAATCGACATTCGAAACAGAACCTGTCAGCAATTTCACCTAAAGGGCGTTTTCCTCGTTTCTCGTCTTGTCGAAGCGTCTGCTTTCTCACCATCAGCGTCATTTTGGCTGTTGCTGTGTTGTTGGTGTTCCACACTGTCCCCGTGTCTTGTAATTTACAAAATACGCCTTCGTTATTGTTGGGATTTGATTTGGTCGTCTTGTAATCTTTCGATCTGTTATTAAACAGCGGTAATTCTGGTCGAAATTCACGTCTGTCGACTTGCCAACGGATGCCGACTTTGCAAGTCACTTGTTGTAACTATGGCATTAATAATATCGGGCTCTGTGTAGTATTACGACACTGTTAGAACTGGTTTTCAAACGGTATTCATGTGGTTCATAATCAGCGTGTAACCTATCCTCCATCGCCCTGTAAATCCCCTTTTTACGATTACATGTTGACGACGGTGGGAGTCGGTAGTGAAAGAACTACCCTACAATCTGTGCGTTATTTGCAGCCCAATCACATGCCACCGTGAGCACAACCAAGACGAGGTCACCGATTCTGGTTGGTCTCAGTGCACTTAAGCGGTCGTCGCACGCATGAGTATTATTGGGTAGTGCGGGAGTTGTGGTGTGCGTTTTCATACACAGCTGATTATGCAAGAGCACAAACGCACACACACAGCCGCCATTTGCACGCACAATGACTGGCGATGAATAGCCCAGGTTTTGACGCGAGCGGCTTCATTCGAAAGCTGTCGTTGCGTAAAAAGAAGTGGCCCGATGACTATTTGTCGGGCGGAGCGCCCAAAACCCGTCGCGGAAGCACCGGCCAGAGAAGCTACCCCTCCCCCACCTCACCGTACTCTCCCTCTTTTTTCGCCCCCTTCGGCGCCTCCCCGCCACCGCCGCCCCAACCCCTCACCTCGCACGCGCTGGCAGAGCTGAGGACGCAGTTCGCCGACCAGATCAAATGCCTCGACGCCAAGTTGGACCTCGATGTGACGGTGATGTCGGAGCTGCACGAGTTCTACCGGCGACGCGCTCTCGTGGAGCAGGAGTACTCCGACGCCCTGGCTAAACTCGTCAACTCCCTCAAGCACAAACACTCCTGCGAAACTGGGAAGTGAGTTGGCGGTGTTCTTTTTTCGATTTCTGCTTTTTGCGTCATTCTCTGTCTCAGAATTAACTCGATCCTATTTAAATTTGCAAATAGCCTCACGATGCGACATATCGTTTTGATTTGTGATGATTACTACCCGTACTCGAGTTGCTGCTCTTTTTGCAGAAATATGGGAAAACAGCAATTTTGCGCAGATAATGTGTGTGATCTGCTTTTGCATTCATCACACATGTGACCCCGTCGTGTGTGTTTCTGCACCCCAGATCCTTGTGGCGTGTTTTTCTGGTGCAATTAGCATATGCAGGCTTCGCGTGCATTCGAAGTGTGGTCTCAGGGTGTGACACGTGCGCCGCCAGGTCTTATGCGTCTGTTCCTCCCTATCCTTCTCCCTCCCTTCCTCCTTCCTCTTCAACCTCCTTCTCGATCTCCCTCCCCACCCACCTGAGAAAGGTGATTCAGTTGAAGTTTTGCGCCACCTAGACGTAGTACGGTTGCAGTGTGCATATTTGGCTCAAGTTTTGAGTCATTGTCGCACAAAGTCCATTTCACATCGCTCAATTTGCCACCTCGCCCATCTGCCAAGTTCCAGTCCTGAGACCAATCGAAACGAACGCGAAACTTTTTGCTCTTCTCGGGGTCGTGGCACGCAGTTGGCCATCCAAAAGTGCATTTTCTCTACCGCATCAACCACCTACTCGTGCAGTATGTTTGCTATTTTTACCGTGGTGTCATGTGATCGTTGTCGTTGACTGTCATGTGTGTACGTTGAGCTCGTTGAGATTCTGCATCAAGTGCGATTTAACAGACAAGGAAGGCGTTAACTTGGGATGCCTTGGTTCGATTCCCGATGACTAAGCTACCGTTTTCACGGCACAAACGGCCCAGGTGTTCAGCTTTTGCGAACTGCTAGTAGTTTTGTCGCCTTGTGCCTACGTTCCTACGAAGCAAGGCGTGGATGCGCTTTCCTTTTTCACCGCCTACTTTGTGCCTACCGTTATTCTTGCTGCTGCCGCCTCACATGCTATTGCACAAGATTTGTTGTCATACACAACTAAAACGAGGCCAAAATCAACTCGTCGTTGTGCCTCACATTATCACATTTGAAATGTCAGAAAAGGCTGTTTTATGGAATATAATTCTCGTTACTTTTAAACCGGAATCGCCCGCTGATTAAATTAGTATTTTGCTGCACGAAGTCACATGGATTGTAGCCTTGTTCGCCATTCGAGCGAATGTAGAGCATCACGGATTCAACGTGCACTACAACGTTGAATCCATTTTATGTACCTTTTCCCGGGGAGTTGGTATTGTACCTAATTGCGCAATCGCCTACCTGCACAATGCCTGTCTCCTTAGTCACCTAAGACACGTGTCGGGAATCATAGACTTGCTTATGTCGTTTTTTTAATGACCCGCACTGCCTGGCAACGGAATCATGAGGGTAGATTTGATGTGCGTGTGCATCCTCCTGTCTCGAGGTGTCTCTTGTCTGCTTCCAACAGGAACAACGCACCAACCGACGGAGTTGTGCAAGTATTTTTTGGTTCGATGCGGGCCTTCGGTTTTTTGTTTTTTTTTGTGCTTGTGTGCCGGTGACAAAAGCCGTGTGAATGGAAAAAAGGCGACTGCCGATTTGTGTAAAAACATGCTGCAGGTCGTTAGTTTCATCATTTGACCAAATCGGCTTACGTGAGCGGCGGAATTGGAATGTACTGTCGGAGTTCACGACGATTCACGTGGACTTCCAAATTTAAGCCTAATTTCAACAGAATTAAATTTGATAACCGGATATCAATGACGTTGATTAGTAAGTTATTGAATGACCTGCATATGTACTTCCCACTGAGTTGTAAGGCCCCTTCTTCCGTTTGCATAGCCCTTCACGGTGGTCAGTTTTCGCCCACACACACTCAAATTTAGTGGTTAAAGTAGAACATTTAACTGAATGGGCTTTTAGCTGTCCCACAGTAAGTCTCCTCTGCTATTTTCCAACAAACAGTTCTTCAAACGGGTTTTGGAACATGTGACACTTCTATTTTCAGGCATTCATTTAACTCTTCCGCACATTTTTATCCAAGTATCACTCGTCCTTAATTATTCAATCTGGACAATCAAACTTCAAACCCAGTTTCGTTCAAGATTGATTATCCGCAAAGGTATTTCACAAATTGTCGAATTTTGATGCCAACTTCCTATAAATGCCACTTCTAAATGTGCCCGAACTTTTACTGATCCATAGGTGGTCAATTTGAAGAAGAGTGTGTTCTAGGTTGGGTTTTAGTCCTTGATGTCCTTCCGCAATTTCGACTTGGTAGTCACTGGCATAGTCGTCGAAATTAGATATAACAGCAGCCAATTAATTTTTATCGGAAAATTATTGATTGATCAGCAGGCCTGATATTGTAATGATTACTTCGGCAATTTACTTTCCTCATTCAATGAAAATTCCATTTCACCCCTCAGGCTAAAACCCAGCGTTTAAGATAAAATATTTAATGGAATAGGTTTCTAATTGTCCTTGAGTATGTCTCATCGGTTATTTTCGAAAAAAACAACGGCTCTTTGTACGGGATTAGAATCGTGTGACATCGTGTTTTCCTTATTACCACCAAAAAAATTAGCTTCAATTACTCGATCTTGTAACATTTGTTTCGTTCAACACTAATTTTTCGTAGATATTGCACAAGTTAACATTTCTTATGCCCACTTTCTGCTGACGCCTTTTCTGGCTGACCTTTTTTTTAAAAATATCCCACCTTTTTGGGCCATAGATAGGAAATTTGAGCAGTACGAATCTTCACAATTTGGACTTTAACTTACTAGTCACTTGCCCCATTTTTATTCTCAATGCGAAACCCTAGAAGGTGCGTTGATTGGCTAAAGAAGCCCTGCCTATCGCTAAAATTATTTTCTATAGGCGGCGGTATTTTGCCAACTTCGTGTGAATTTTTAAAAACCTCTCCGGGCTCCATTTGGACGATAGTATTTTAAATGTTGTGAACATTTGCTGCTGTCGTAAAATTAATTGCCACACACACGGAGGGAGAGAGAGAGCGAGTGGGGATAACATTCGCGTACGTGTACTAAGCCCGTGAGTCGTCAAACCGCCTTTCTGGGCTTCGCGTCTGTCGAAGACGTGGTGCGCCTTGCAAACATCAAAAGGAGCGAGGGAGAGAGAGAGACAGCCGAACCACATGCCACCTCTGACCTTACCACGGCGTGTGCGTGTGTCTGTGTGCGTGCATTTCCGGGCGCACGACCTGACCCGCAGAATCTCAGGTCGAATTGGGTTGGCGGGTGTGGTGGTGTATCGCTCGTGTAGCGCCCATCTCTCTTAACCTCGGTCCCTCTGTCGGAACTTCAAAGAGGTCCTCGAGGCTCAAGAGGAGTGCCGTGTTAACCGATGGCACATGTGCGAGGCGCCCTTCGTTCTTTCGTGTTTAACATACGTGACGGGTGGTTAGCGCGCGCGTCTGTGCACTTGTTGGCCCTTCAATTGAACAATTTCGCTAACAAGGCCCACTACATTAACCTCGCTCCCCCTTTGATCAACGTTCCTTACAACCTATCGCGGAATCCAAATTAGTAAAGACCGCCTTCGTTTTCATATGACCGATAAGTTTATCCAGTCATAACACCCTAATTTCCGCAAATTGGCAGTTTCTCTGCCTCCTGCCATGCGCTGTTCCTACACACTGGTTAGAGATTGGTCCGTACATCAAGCGGAGGTAGAAGTATGCCCCGGTTTTGGAATGCAGACCTTCTAGCGAAACGAATTTTCATTCTTTCCAAATGCTCCCATTGTGAGTTTCAGTGTGGCTGAACTCACAGCGTTCGGGCCTGCATTCTTGCAAAACTTATTGCTACATCGGTACATACAACAACTGAAGGTATCTATGAGAAAAATAATCTTCGCTGAACGTTCAGAAGCGTCCCAGAAAGGGACTTTACTGTTCTCTCTCCCGCACAAGGTCAATATCAGTGCATTGACAAGTTTCTACTTTCTAGTACCGAAAAGAGGATCAAAACTTCACGTTTTTCTTGCGATTGGCGCACATAGGCTGTAATTTTTCGCTCTAATTACAATTCAGTGTGAATCTCCACGGTTGTGTGGACAAGCTGCTGAACAGAAAAGCCATGAAAGACGGTTTAAGTCATTGTTGTGTCAATCAGCGCCACAGCTTCTGGCACCGTTCTACGCCTGCCTTGGCGCCTTCATTTTGAAGCCAGTGATTTAGAACTTATTAATCACTAATCTTCAACTTGAAGCCAGTATGCCCATTGGCGTTGAGATTGGAGTATTCTGAAGTTGCGTCGTGAACATAACCCGCTTCGGAAGAGCTTGGGCTGAGTTATTTATCGAATCTCGTGTTAAGTGTGGCTTGGCGTGAAACGTGTGACCATTTGTGCTAAATGCCAAAATGTGTCGTGATTGCGCGCTGGTACTTCCACTCGGTGTGCCAAAGTCTACAGCATTTGGCAACTGGTCGTCACACGAGCGTGTGGATCGGTTCATCCCATACAAAGCCCCTGGGCGGTGCTGCCCCAAGCGTTTATGACACGCAGAGTGCATCGCCCTTGCGCCACATGTCACTTCCAAGTCAATAAAACACAAGTATCTTCTTGCATCCCATGCCTTCCCTGCCCCCTTGTGACACATTTTTCATTAGGACGTGGTATTTCGTCAGGGCTGCAAAGGTGGACTGCCTCGCGTGTTATCCTGAACGCGTTTTCGCCTCATAAAGTATGTTCTTTCGACTGAATGGCTGTTTGACAACCTCTGCAGAAGTCCTCGTAAGCACACTGGAGTTGCCTTCATGGCCATGTGTGACCGCCTTTTGTCCTTGGATGCGCTGTTGACACTGTTTGGGGTGATTGGTGCGTTTACCAGCTAGCGAAAACACCCACAGAGCACCAATGCAAGCAAAGAATCTCGTGGATAGACCTTTTTCTGTCTCATCCAGTGGCCGGATGATACGCCCATTTCAGTGATCTAACCTCACGATGTGTTCCTGTGTTTCACAATTGAATCTCGCCTTCAAAGGGACTTGTGAAATAAAATGTGTACTCTTATTTTCCATCTTTTAAAAATCGCATGTTATACAAACATTGATTCACTTTGTTGCTGTCAGTTTGTGGCGTGTGAATGTACTTGCTGGGCTTAATTCTTAACTCCCACACTTCTGGCGATAGATGGCCCAGAATTACGACATCAGATGGAAAAGAATTGATGCACACCGCGTATCTCCTCTCAGCAATTAACCTCGGTAATTTTTACAAGTGAAATTTGAGAGCAAACCCTTTTTACCTACACTGATATCGATCTGTGGCGTACTTTATTTATTATATCCAGCAAATTATTGGAGTCAGTGCGCTTAGGATGACGATCCGCCAGCCAATCCTACGGTGGCATTGAAATAAATGTGTTACAAAACAGCTTAATTGGTGGCTTCAGAATATTGAGTCTAAGAGGGGTGATG